ATGAAGGCAGAGAGGGCAGGGCCTGAGGAAGCCTTGCTGACAGCGGCAGCTGCAGCGTCCCCAGCCTGGTGGCGTGGTCCGACAGTGGCGTGCATGGTCGGTGGCAGATCAGTGGGGTGAGGGGCAGCGGGGGCAGCTGATGGTCTGTGTGCGAGTCAGGTGATGGTCCAGATGTGTGTGAGTCCCTGCCGCAACCAGCAAGACATTTCTCCTTTTAAGAAATTCAAGGCAGCTCACATAATTCTTCTCCTGCCCTCCAGCTTATCCTCACCACAACCCTGTGAGGCAGGCTGGGCTGAGTGGCTATGACTGCCCCAAAGCCATATAATGAGCCTCATGGCTGAGTGGAGAGTAGAACCCAGATCTCATGTGACCCAGTCCTGTTCTCTTAACCACTACACCGCACAGCCTCTCACTCCTACTTTGGTTTTGTACATTTGCAAAAGTTACGATTGGTTAGGAGCAAAATCTTATGGGCATGCCCATTAACAGATTAACACATTTAAAACACTTACACAGACACATATAACAATTGCAATTATAGGAGCACAGCAGTGGTACAGAATAAAATGTCATATTAAAATGTTATATTAAAATATTTAATTTCATATTAAAAATGAAGTTTAAAAGCTAAACAGTTAAAATGCTTGGAGAATAAAAAGGTCTTCACCTGGTACCAGGTCAATGCAGATACAAAGGAGGTACCAGGCATACAAGTACCTCTTTGGAAAGCTCCTACTGCCACAGTCAAAAAGGACTTCCTCCTGCATTCCACCTGCCTTACTTCCTTTGCAAGGGCCTCCTGGAGAAGCCCAGGTGCACAATTGGCAGCATCCAGCTGGGTAATGGAGCCCAAGGAATCAGATGGATCCTCACCCGAAAAACATAAAAGGAAGTATAAGCAATGTGAAAAGTGGAGGAAGCGGACTTCGGCTAAAGAGGACTAGGATCCTTCTCAGGATAAGCGTTTGACTGTACAGCAGGACTGCTGTGGAAGAAATGTCTGTGATCAGCCTGGCCATCAGAAATTCTGCCTATATGGAGCCTGCGTTGTCTGGGGTTGGACTAGATGATCTCTGAGGTCCCTTCTGACTCCTCAAAGTATAGATAAATAAAAAATAAAGTGAATGGGATGGGCAATGTGGTCTCTTTGCCAGGGTGGCATTCATCCCTTCTAAAGATTTTCCTTTTTTCTCTTCAGCGTGAACTTAAAATGCACTTGGTTTTCTGTCCCAAAATTCAAATCTCGCTTCTTTGCAAACACACTTGCTTTGATCTTTCCTGCACTGGTGGTCCTGGATACCATTTGGGGGAGGGGGTAAAAAATAATTCATTCAAGGGTCCCCCAGCAGACTGCTATATGAGGAGAGAGGGTTTGTGGCGGGCCTCAGGAAGCTTCCCATCCAAGTTTGGATTTCAGTGGTTTGATATGTGAGGCAAATGCTGGGGTTCATTTCCTCGCATCCACCACTGAGGCAGGTAACTGCACTAGCTATTCCTGGTCTCCCCTATTTCCCTTTTCAGTCTGATTCTCATGATGAAGTAAGGACTGCTTTTTCTTCTTTCCTTTTGAAACATTACAAGCAAGAAAACGGTAGAACGAAGCCCTGGTTGATCGCTAAGATGGAATAGCCTGATTGGGCACAGTTTTCCAGGAGAACGCAAAAGAGGGGTTTGCTTTCCTTAGAGTGGTCCTCCATGAAGAATTGTAATCTTCCTTCAAGTGGACACATCAGGAAGCCATTTTGCAAAGTGTTCCCCCGCCCTGCTCTTGTGAAAATGGCATAACAGTCCGTCATGCATCTTCGAATTGCATTTTAATGGCATCCTTCCATTCAGGCTGTTCTTGAACTAGGAGGCTGAGTGAAGCCTGGAGGGCCTGTCCAATTTGCTTGCTTATTGTAGCTGGGCAAATGCCAGTCGATGGTGTAATTTGTGCAGAAAAGACATTCCTAGTAGAGACAACTGCCCCGGGGAGAGAGGGATGAAGCGCCGTAAGGACATTTTCCCATTCATATGATATTCAAACCATGGAAAGCTGGAGGCAGGGGTCACCTAGTCCTTCAGCCATCATCATCATCATCAATTTAATTTAATGTCGGAAGCTCTCTGAGTGGTTCTCCAAACACATTAAAAATGATAAAAAGATACAAGGCATAAAAATGAAAAAGTTTACAATACAAATTTAAAATCATCTATTAAACAGGATATGTATAAACTCAAATTTTAACTGCCTTCCCTTGGTGAATTCACTTTAATTAATTAATTAATTTTTATACTGCCCAATAGCTGAGACTTTCTGGGCAATTAACAAAAATTAAAAAGACACACACACACACACACACACACACACACTCTCTTACACAATTGCAACTAAGCATAACTGCAGTTTCAATTGTTAGTATTTGGCACAGAAGCATAGCAGAAGTACAGTATAAAAAGGGATGTATAAAAACAAAGTTTAAGAGTTATATTTTTAAAATGCTAGGAAAATAAAAACTCTTTATCTGGCACTGGAAAGAAAATAAGGTAGGCACCAGGAGTGCCTCTTTGGGGAGCTCATTCTGCAACTGGGGTGCCACAACCAAAAAGGCCCTGCTCTGGTAGAGACTTGCCTCACTTTCTTTGGAAGCGATGCTAGGATTAGGATCCCCAAAGGCGACCTCAGGTTCTGGATAGGCACATAAGACATTTCTGTATCTCTCATTAACCAAATGAGAAATAACCAGGTGAAAACTAGGGATGTATAAACTTTGGAAAATTCATTCCATCTGCATTTCCCAGATTGTCAGAAGTCATTTCTGCCATTATTGATGCATAGAGAAAATTGGGTGTTGCATCAGCATGTTCATATGTGGTTGTGCAGATTCTCTGGTGTATAAAATGGGCATTTATGAAATGCACAAATCCCCAACAGTTACACGGATACAGAGATCCCTGAAAAATGTGCTTTTTTCACATTTAAGCCTATGTGGGAAATTTGCATTTTGGTCAGTAGTTTTTTTTTAAAGGCATTACCATTATCCCTATTTTCTAAATTTAAATTTATGGAACATTATGAAAAGTTACAAAAGACGCTGCTGAATCCATCCCACTGTATTTTGTGGGTTGTCTGGTGCCTCATTAAATCACCCCTTTGTTCATTTCCAGAAGTGTAAAGTTGCAGAAGTGCAAATTTGTGCAAATGTGTACAAACCCCAGTGAGGGGATAACAAGGGGTTGAACAGAATTCAGCATTTAAGCTCCTTTTAAACCTGTGTTTTGGAAAAGCTAAGCAGTTGCTTCTTTTGATGAGGGTGTTATTATATCTGTAAGTTGGTACTGGAACAGTCTTTAAACTTTGCTCCTTTAAATGTTTTACCTGCTTCATGAAAATGAATGGTTAGCAGAAATGGATGCTCAAGGACTGATATAACAGCAATGGACAGATAAATGTTCACCTGCTATAAAGCAATGACTAGAGGTTGGTGTTGTTGGTCGCAAAGTCGTGTGCGACCCATCGCGACCCCATGAACAACACTGCTCCAGGTCCTCCTGTCCTCCACCATCCCCTGGAGTCCACCTAGGCTCACACCAACTGCCTCAGTGACTCCATCCAGCCGCCTCATCCTCTGCCGTCCCCTTCTTCTCTTGCCATCTATTGTTCCCAGCACCAGGCTCTTCTCCAGGGAGTCCTTCCTTCTCACTAGGTGGCCAGAGTATTTGAGTTCCATCTTCAGGATCTGGCCTTCTAAAGAGCAGGCAGGGTCGATCTCTTCTAGGACTGTCTAGAGGACCTTACATCTAATATTTGAACGAGTGGCGTGAAGACAGGAATGTGTGAGGAATCCATTTTGTGAGAGGGAATCTGCCAAATTCCTTGGACTTTGCTCCCCAGACTCCACTTTGTCACAGCTGCAGGTCTGAGCTCCTGGGGAATGAACTGTGCTCAGCCGGGGCTCCCCAGGAATACAGCCCGTTACTGCTGTTTGTGCGAACGTCATTCTTCAAGCCTTCACAGGCTTTGTCTCAACTCTCTTTCTAAGACCAGGATAAGCACAAGACTGCAAATGCTAGAGGGGTGGATTCCACAGAACTTCATTGCCACCTTACTTGCAGTGCCACCTGCCAGTGAATACTTTGCTGGGTATCTGGCGTGAATGCTATCTACAATTGCTAGAAAATTTTCCAATCTATTCATTACTATGCATTTCAGATCAACTGATTGCTATGGATATAGAGAAACATATGCATATTTTTAAAAATGCAGCTGCAAGGATAAAATTCAAAATAAAAATAACAGTATGCCTTTGAGCCCCAGGAGCTGAACATCATGCACACAAGATGGGTGTTTTTGCCCTCATATCTGACTTGCAAGGTTTCAGGGGCAACTAGGTGGTCTAAGAAACTGGGTGAAGAACCACATAGGCCTTCAGTATGATCTAGAAGAGAATTTCTTCTGCCCTTAATAAATTCATGCCATCGTTACCTTGCATTTCCATGCTTCATATCAATGTTCCAAGGTATGCCCAGAAAGATTTCATAGAATCATGGAATAGAAGAGTTGGAAGGGGTCAGAAGGCCATCGGGTCCAACCCCCTGCTGTTGCAGGACACCCATTTACACCATCAGAGACAAATAGCAAAAGCCAGACCCAGATCTGTGTTGAATAAACACTCTCTGTATTTTTCCCAATTCAGGTCACAACAGACACTCGCCCTGGCACATTTGCAGAGAAAGGTGGAGCAAAGCACGGCAGCTTCCTACGCTTGACATACACCATCCCATAGCAGGTTGTTCGTGTGGATCCTCCTGAGGTCACTGTTACATCTTGCTTCTACAGTTCGCCAAGACATTAGCGATGGGCCCCTGGCTGTACTTGTGGTGTGTCTCAAGAATAATTATAGTGAAAAACGTTCCACCTCAAAGATCACGTGCCAGTGACTTCTGCTCTCCATGGCTGATATTCCCTTCTGGTCTTCCAACAAAGGGATTTCAGGGCTTCCCCTTTGGGTACATGGTCAGAACTGGGGAGGGAGCTGTTGCGAGAGCAGTGGGCACTGGCATTTGTGGTGAGAGGGAGGGAGATGTTTGCTGTAACACATGGCCACTTTGTCTTCCCTTGGCGCCTCTTTCCACAACCGCACCGCTTGCAGCCGGGTGACCACAATCACCTTCTGCATACAGAGTGGGCAGGTCTTGCTCCTGGTCTGAGTGATGTGCCAGAGGTCAATGCATTTGCTGTGGAAGGCGTGTGAGCATGAGAGAACCTTCAGGCTGTCGTGTTCCTTGTACCGGTCCAGGCAGATGGCACATTCTTGGTATTGGGAGCCCCGCAAAGAGAAGCCTACCATGCCCCTTTCCAAGTGGTGCCAGTTTCTCTCTATGCTCCATCTCTTGCACCTGGAGAGGTATTTTTCAAGCAGCAAGGAGGCAATCAAGAGAGACACTGGGACACAAACCATCCAGCAGGTGTGGAGAAACACCATCAGCTGGCAGGGGCCAGGGAAGTGGATGTGGCACTGAGGATGCATGGAGGAAATGTGGGTGATCCCAGATGAACCCTTCTGGGTGAAGTGGAAATATTCAAGTACAAGGACCACCAAAGATAACTTCCTGGAATGGTGAAACTGCTTCAGGACCTTGGAAGCCATGTCTGCTGGGATGAACACAACTGGGATGTAAATATTCTGTTGGGCACCTGCCTTGCTCACCATTTTCACCAGGGTTTGGGGGTCCACGCTGTGCATGATGGCCACATGGAAGCCAGTCTGCTGGGCATGAAGGACCTTGCTGGCAAAGGAGCAGTTGTACCGATAGATGAGAGCCACAGAGACCATCGAGGAGTTTGGCTGGCTTTTGGTGGGATGGCAGACATCTTCAGGCCTTGCCTCAACCAGAAATCCTGCAAGCTCATCGGGAGGAATTGGAGACCCAAAAAGAAGAGGCAGGGCCCTGAAATCGAAGTTGGTGGAGTTATGGCTGCAAATGGCATGGATGAAGGTATTCACAGCAGGAACTTGAAGGACCAAAATCACAGTCACCACGTGTGATGGAGGAGAAAGAGGACACCACATCTTAGTAGATGCTGCTGGAGATCTGACCATGGGCTGAATTCAGACTGAGGGCTGGCTTGGCAGAGCTGTGCAAAACCTTAGAGGAGGAGATTTACCCTCAAGATGGTGACTTGAGTTTCCATGAGACTGAAAAGTTGTGGGTAGAGATGGCAGCTCAACTTGGTCAGGTGCTCTTCTTTCCCCTCCCCTCTCAACAGGCTGGCCTGTTGGCTGCACCTCATCGATTCTCCTCTGCTTCCTCCTGATCTCTGAGAACGTTCATCTCAGGCCTTTGTGACCTCACAGCCTTGCCTTTCTCCACCATCTCTCCCTTGCCCAGCCCAGCCCAGTGGCTCCCAGGAGCTGGCTTGCAAGGCAAATTCTCTCAAAGTGGCTGCAGGAGTTCTGAGGGAACAGCTGTGATGGAGAGAAGTGGCTTCACCATTGCAGGCAAGACGGGAAGGCCTTGCATCTCCTCCTTGGTCATAAGGAATACCCACGTTCTGCAGCAGGCTATGGACAAAACTCTCTTCCTGTTGGGGGTCCCTCCCTGTGAGGATAATCTGCTTTGGGGTTGCACACTGCGAAGGTGGGATTGGAGCCAGCACTGGGCGTGACCAGTGCCAAACATTGCTGGATGCACTCTCGGCTCTCTCTCCTTGACCCCCACTCCTTTCCCTCCAGTGTGCATCACCCTTTTTGATGTCCTATCTTCTCCTCCTTTTCCTTTTTTTCTGCAGTCATTTTTTATCCCTCTTTGAGCCACTCTTCCTCTCTCACTGTCTTCTCTTGCTCCCTTCTGCCCTTCCGCTCTTCCTCTGCTGCCCCTTCTTTCCCTCCCTCCTTCTCGCCCTTTCTGGAGAGCAGAGTTGAGAGTTCAGCTCAGGGACCAAACTTTTCAGGTCTCCGTAGTCCCTTGAACAAGACTCCCTCCAGGTCGTAGGCAGCATGAAACAAGACGGTAACTGGACCAGGGCAAGAGAACGTGAGGCAAGACAGGACTCACTGTGTGTTCATTGCATTGCAAGCATTACTTACCCGTGCAAGTCAAATAGCTGCAGCCCTTCAGCATTGCTTTTAAATTATAATTCACTTGGTGCAATAAATCAGACTTAAACATTTTTAAAAGACATGAACCAAGGAAGGAGTTCAGTAGACCTGATGCTTCCTCGAAGATTTTCAGCAAAATAGTTCCTAACACTCCTCCCCCTTTCCCCTGCTCTGGACCACCTGCTGCAGAACTGGGGGAGGTTTTCCAGCCCTGCTGGGTAGAATTTGCTTTCTTGTGCTGTCCGGTAGGGATGTTCCAGGCATGTTACTGCCACTGATGCAGGGAGTGCCATTTAGCTCTCATCTAATAGAACAGACTCCATCAACATGTCTAATCCTCCTTTAACATCACCTAAGCCAATAGCTCTCACTGCATCCTGCAGAAGTCTAATTCTAAAAATTAATTCTATGCTGTCTGAAGGACTTTGCTGCTGTTAAAACCATCTTCAATCTAATGTTGATTGGATTGGGCAATCTGAGTTTCTCAGATTCAGGGAGAAAACCATGCTCCAGGCTACCCTGTTGCTAGACCATTAGTGAAGGATGGTTTTTCTTGAACCGGTCTGACTGGTGGATGGGAACTGTAGTCCCAGCCACTCAGAGGAAGCCCACAGTGGATAAAATCTGCACTCTTTGGAGCTGTGCAAAAACAGCTTCTCATAAAATCATCGGAAGTCATTGGCTTTCTCACAGAATCTTACAGGAAAGGTCAGTTGTTCTCAAAACTCTCCACCCAGTTTGCAGGCACAGATGTCAGGGGAGGAACTATTTCATCCAGTTTTGTCTGTTGCTTCTCATGCCATAGGCTTCTCCGTCCACCGTCACTCCCCAGATTTGTTTTGTTTTGTTGCCACTGCAAGAGCAAAATAGCCAGAAAATATTTGGAGAAAATGCTGCAGGATGGACTTCTTTTTCAAGGAAGCAGTCCCTGAGAAAAAGAGAGTTCGAGGAGATCTCATCAGGGGAAAAAAGTTATCTGAGAAATTTCAGAAATCAGCTCAAATCATATCCACCCTTTACTGATACTTTGCCTACATCAAAAAGTCCCAAAGCCCCCTTTACAGTTCGTTTGGTGGCTTCATGATTTTTGTGGAACCATATCCATCCTAAAAGGTTGAACTGTCTTTTCTAAGGCTTAATTACTGGCAGAAAGAGCCCTAAGCCAAAATGTGACATTTGAAATTGTCCTGGCCTTTCTGCCTTTGGCATTGCCTACTGCAGGTATATGGTAGATGAATTTCAGTTCTCGTGGTGAAAAAGAGAAGGGAGTTGCGGTTACTCATATCTGCTATTTAACGTATCAGATCACAGTATGATGTTTGCTTGTCTCCAAATCCTTCCTGTAAAGGTCCAGAAGGCAGCAGGTTCCCTCCTTTTCAGAGACAAGTTTGCTAAAGTGGTGATAACCAACAGGAAATTTGTGGGCAGAACAGGACACAATTCCATGTCTATGAAAAATTTTAAAAATTGTGCACTGAGAAGAATGCATTCTGAGAATGCACTGAGAATGCATTCTAGGTCCAGCAGTCAAAGACAGAGACATTGTAGCCTAATGGTTGAAGTGTTTTTATTATTTTTCCTTTTTATTCTCCTATTATTTTAATGTTTAATTTGATTTAACGTGTTTTATACTGCATGCTGTGCTATTTCGATTTCTATTTTACTTGTAATTTGTTGTAAACCATTCCGGGATGCTAGGGTAGGGATGATTTATAAAAGCTTTAAATAAATAAATAAATAAATAAATAAAGTTAAGTGTAGTACTGAAACTGGGAAGATCTGAGTTCTAGTCCCCAATCAGCCATGAAGCTCACAGGGTGACTTTTGGGCCAGTCATGGACTATCTGCCTAGCCTACCTCACAGGGTTGTTACTCTAAGGATAATATGGAGAGGGAAAGGACTTTGCAAACTGCCTTGGGGTTCCTTGAAGAAAGGTGTGGGGATGATGATGATGATGATGATGATGATGAATAACAACAATAACTAGAATATACACAATTATAAAGCACAATTGGAGATTCTGAAGCCTTCTGGATGCCATTGGATTACAAGCCTCACCAGCCCTTTGCAGGATATTCAGTTGCAGGAATCATAGAAGTCAGAGTCCAATAACACCATTAGAGTCACAGGAAGCCCAATTCTGCTACAAAGCAACCCCAAGAAATCAGCAGTGCAAGATATTAAAGAGGAATTAGGACATAAATGGAGAATATCAGGTTATACAACAAATTCAGATAGATCTGATACACAGGGTTTTTGTGATTTTTCAATCTATTTATTTGGAGTTTGTGCCCCTTCTCTTCTTCCATGTAACAGAAGAATACTGTAAGTTCGGACATGTATTCTACATTCACATCCTGAATAATAAGTAATCCATATGTGACAATAATACACAGATAATTCCCCATAGTTCTCCCTAATACTGTAAAGCAGCCAAGTCTTGAACTCACGGCCATCTTGGAAGCCGTGACATGGCGCATTGCGGCTCCACTTGTGCGTCACCATTGCAGCTGGCAATGCAATTGCAAATCATAGTTGCCAGGTCAGATGATCTGAAGGACCAGTCAGGACCCACCCCACCGCCTTCCAGTCAATGTCAGGCTTTTCCCCATCTCTGCAGTCAAACTGCCTATTTGCTCATAGTGAAAGAGCAGGCTGCAAGGGAGAAGGCGAGTGAGCCAGGGTAGGCAGCGCTCTGAAGAAAAGTTTGCAGAATTCCCATCACCTTGCACCCATCCTACAGAATGGCCACCCTCTGACCTCCCACGGAAATGCACCCTGCTTTTAAACCCCCTCGGCACAACAGCAACCACAGACCTCGTCCCCTCTGTACCTGAACACCACACTGCAATAAAATGAGACGGACAACAGCTGACATTGGGAGAATTTTGTTGTTTCAGATTTTTCCATTTTCCCCATCTTGCTGCTCATTCAAGAACCCCTCAGCTCCTTGCCCTCCTAGCTAGATGTTTGGGTTGACTTTCTGCTTGCAAATTGGGCAGGTCTTCCCCGCCCTGGGTTGGATAAGGAGCCAGGTGTCGATACAGGTGCTGTGATAGGCATGGCCACAAGGAAGGATTTTCAGCCGCTCTCCTGCTTCATACTCGGCCATGCAGATCACACAGGAGTCATTCTTGTCACCTCTTCGGAAGGTCTTCACTCGGATGCTGCTGTTCCATTGATGCCACTTCCTCCAGCCAGCAAAAAGCAGGAAGCTCAGGCACATTCCCAGCAGGATTAGAACCCCAAACTCCTGGAAGAACTCAATGATGACTTGCTGGGTGCAGTAGCCTGGCCAAAAACTCAAGTAATGCCGCGCTGGGTCCCAAACAGAGATGTCCCGGCCCTCCCAGCATGGGTTGTAATAACCCCGAGGCACCTTTGCTGTGACTTGGATGCCCTTCTCAGAATGGGCCTGCCTTCTCAGCAGCTTGGCCGCCGTTCCCCCAATGAAGACAGAAGGAATCAAAACCTGCTGCCTGGTCTCTTTCATCTTGATGGCCATGCTCACCAGCAGATCTGAGTAGATGTTGTGGATGATGGCTGCTTGGTACCCAGCTTGCTGGGCATGAAGGATCTTGGTGCCAAAGGGGCAGTCATATCGACGGATGAGCACAAAGAAGCCTGAAGGGGTCCTGTTGGAGGCTGGAGGAACTTCAATGGGGTAGCAGGCATTGGAAGGTACAGCCTCCACCAGGTAACCTGTGAGACCTGTTTCAGGGAGTGGTGGGCCGAAGCAGGCAGGGACAGCTTCAAAATCAAGGCAGGTGGAGTTATGGGCATAGATCAGGTGGACAAATGGTTTTGCCATGACTACTTTGAGGAGCAAGGAGAAGGCCACCAGTGACGGAGACAGGAGTGAGACCCACATGGCAGAAATCGCCTTCTGCAGACAGGATGACAGGATGGAGAGTCTGGTGGAACATCTGGCTCTCACCTTGGCATCTCGGAGGGCTGGTTTGGGAAGCTTGGAGGCAACAGGGGCACAGGGACTTCCTTCCTCAGAAGGACCTTAGAAAGAGACTTTTAATCACGGACGTTCAACCTGGTCTTCTACATGGATACACAAAGACACACTTTCCGCCACAGGTCATGTGCTTCCTCCAGCACAGCTAGACTGAAACTGCCTGGGCTTTTATGACATCACTCATACGGTGCCTGGTCTGTACTCCTTGCGAGTGAGTAGGGGTGGGTGGGGGAGAGAACACACAGGCATGACTCCTCCAGGGTGGAGCCTTGCTCTGGCTCCCCAGCGTTTAGTCCTTTCTCCCTGCCACCTCCATCCATGCTGCAATTCCTTGGGGCCTCTAGCCCGTGATGCTAGAAACATCTCCTGTGTTTTTTGATCATTTCCCATAAGTCAGGTAGAAAAGAAAAAGTGTCTGAAAAGAATTATGGAGGCAAAGAGCATTTGAGGGACATTCTCTTGGGTTGGGTTTGCAGTTCTTGTGCTGAAAGTACCTCATAGCCACATCTTTCATTGCAGAATCATGTCTCCAGCCACCTGCAGTTTCCTTGGCTTCCCACCCTTCATTTTATATGGGGACACATGCCCCAGAACCATGCCAGGACCAGCCCTCTCCTCTCCAAAGTAAAGGAGAAATAAACCATGCTACAACCTATTCCAGTGGTGAGTCCTACCTGTGAGCACATGTGGAAGAATTTCACCTCTCCCTTGTGGAATTCAGTGGAATTGTTCTCCCAGCTTCACTGCCCACAAATGAGGGGACTTGACAGGACATCTTTCCATAGCTCTGCTCATATTACAGACCTGAGACACAAACCGGTGATTTTGCCCAAAGCTGTGGAGATCTCAGTTCTGCTCCTGCTGTGCCAAGCCCTTGAGCTGTAGGTGGGTGCAATAATCGAAGTCATCCTGAAGTTCTGACCTTACCTGGCACCCTTCAGATGTTTCATACCATAGCTGTCATCATGCCTGAGCATGGGCTGATAGGATTTCTAGTTCCAAACCTCTGGAGAACAAGAAGTTGGGAAAGGTTGACTTCTCCCAGAGAAGGACCTCCAGCATGGACTCAGCCTGCCCTGGTTAGCCATTAGATCCTGCTGGATGGAGAGGAGGAGGAGGAGGAGGAGGAGGCATATCCCTGTTGCCATTCACCTGTGCCTGAAGAAGACCTCTTTTTTTAGCTTTGGTGTAGTTCTGGATCCTTTAATGGTTTTCTATGTAGTTTGTTGTTTGATCCTGCTCCTGGAGTTTATTCTGGTTCCTGGATCACTTCAATCTGTAGTTAAACCTGCATGGATGAATGGTCCATTATAGAACAGCAACATAAATGAAACATTTATATTTCCACATCATCTCCAGCCAAGACTTGCCAAAGAAAGGAATTAACCCACTGGATGGAAGTCTTGCATCAAGCCTTCACAAGTGGTTGGGGCATAATTCTGAGTTGCTGAGGCAGCTGGGAATGATGGCACACTTTCCCTTTGGCTTGCTGGGACAATTCTAACAACCAGCCTGGAGGTTATCTGGATAACCTTAAGAAGAAGTGTAAGGGGCAGCAGCCAGAGATGCCCCAGAACTTCATAGTTAGGTGGCTTCTTCATAAGTCACCTTTGTCATGGGCTTGGATCAACATCTTGCAAATTGCTGTTTAAGTTCAGAATAAAGTTCAGAATAGATGGTGTGCGTCAGTGAATGCAAAATGGATTAGCGCACAGTTAGGTATTCTACAACTTGGCTGTTGTAACCTTTTCTTGTAGAAGCATTTCTCCAGGCACTTGATTGTTTTCCTGCTTGGGCAGTGTGTGGAAATCTGACAGCCTGTCGCCATGTAGGCTCCGAGGACAGTTTGCTAGCTTCGCACTGGCACTGACTCACCACTGCACAAGCCAGCTCAAGAACTTCTTTCACCAAGAAAGGCCGTGGTTTATACAGTAAGGAAATGGGTGCTAGTTATGTGAGAACTGCGTAGCTTCCAGCTTCCTCAGGTCCAGCTGCCCATTGTTGGAGAAAACACCCCCTAGGCCGATACTGCCATACTTTGAAGCGGAACTGGGAGCCCTTGTGGTGTAGTGGTTCAGAGCGCAGGACTGGGACTCAGGTTCTAGTCCCTGCTCGGTCCCGGAGTCCATTGGGTGACTTTGAGCCAGTCGGAGACTCTCAGCCCAACCCACCTCACAGGCTTGTTGTTGTGGGGATAAGTTTGAAAGCAGCAGGAGGAGAAGGATTTAGCTGCTTTGAGTTGGTAAGAAAACCAACAAAGGGAAACAAATCTAATAAATAAAACAAACTGTTAAGCCCTTACACTACTCCATGGCAGGGAAAAAAAACCCAACACACCCCAGTGCTATCAGATATGATGCTAACATTTTAAAAAGGGGGAAACCTTGGGAGCGGGAAGTCTGCTGAGCTGAAATGACAATCAGTGTATCTCTTTCTACAATATCCCTTTTAGGTGCAGGAACACAAATGGTCCACAATATTCCAAATGTGATTCTCCACAGATTGCATTTGGATATGGTGGTGTCTTTCTTGATCCTTTCCCGATCATGCCAAAATGGTGGGATAGAATTAGGATGAATGCAGAGAGAGAGAGAGAGAGAGAGAGAGAGAGAGAGAGAGAGAGAGAGAGAGAGAGAGAGAGAGAGAGAGAGAGATGTTCAGGGATATCAGAGAGTCAGGCTGCAAAGCAGGTTGTCTTCAGCTAAGTTTCAGTCCTTCCTTTTAAGATAAAAGTAAGATTCTGGTCCTCATGGTTCTGAATAGGGATGTGGCCCAGGAATCAGGGGGTTTTATTCATTCCTCAGGATCATTCCAGCCTAAACTGGAAGGCTTTATCACATCTATTTTATTTATTATATATTGAACACTTTTGTATACTGTTGCAATAGCATTTTGGCTCTCTGAATGGGTTACATAATAAAACATAACAATGCATAAAAACTACATAAATAAAGCAATTAAAGCATCAATACCTATAGACAATAAAAGAATACAACATCCCTAGCACAACAGGGGCATTACATTTATATCGCACTTTTCTTCCTCTTGCACAGAACCAAAGATGGATTACAATATTGTCCCCATGTCCATTTTATCCTCACAACAACAACCTTGTGAAGTGGGCTAGACTGAGAGTGAGTGACTGCCCCAAAGTCATCAGTCAACTTCATGGTTAAGTAGGAGCTCACACCTGGATCATCCACTAGGATCTTCCAACATTCTGGCCACTAGACCACACTGCTCCTTGAAGCAGGCCTGGGGAAGACGCCTACCCAAGATCCCCAAAGATGCTACCAATCCAGATAAGCAGTAAGAGGTCCAAAAGACCCATGAGGTCTCTCAGCTTCCTTTGCCCCTTTTGCTTGCTTTGATGCACAATTTGCACATGTGAAATTTACCATCATAAATTAGGAGACATTTTCCTGGATGCATCCGGTATAATCTGTCGCAGCCACCACACAGCTGCTGTCCGTGCATATTTACATGGTAGACTGGGGCCGGGGCAGGCTGGGTCGGGCAGCAGCCAAAGGTCCACACCACAGGCTTGTTGCTGCTCTTCTGCCTTGCAACCTACTTGCTTGCTTGCCTATTGCTCCAGATCGGACAGCAAAGGTGGCAAGAAGGAGCACTGAAACCTGCCACGGCCCCCTTCCTAAAGGTGAGGAGTCCCTGAGAATATCTTGAAATGGATGGGTGCCGGGGTGCAACACGACTGGATTCTGCACTCCATTCTGGTCCAGCAGAAGTCTCTTTCCTCCCTTGAGCAAAAATACGGCCCCAGGTTGCTTGGCGAAGGCTGCTCTTGCTAGAAGTGTTTTCTTCTTTTCCTTTTCCTGCCGCTGCCGCCTTCACTCTGCAATGTTCTTGTTCATTTGGATTTTGATGAATTTAAATGTCAACAAGCCACTGAGGAGATGCAAGCAGTGTCTGCGTAAGAGAGGAGCAATTAAGGAGAAAAGGTCCCACTTTGCCACTTGAAGGAAGAGCCAAACTTCGGGGAGAGGGAGAAGTGCCCTTTTCTTGGCTTTCAACTGATTTCTTGCCAAAGCAGTTGCTGCTCTTGTTTTAATCCCGTTCCTTTCAGCAATTGCAAGGCAGAGATTTTGCAAGGGTCACATCCTGGCCAGATGGCCACTCGGCAGCCTCTGCTCAAACACCTCCAGCAAAGGGGAGCCCGCAGCCTTTAAGGCACTCTGTCCTGTCTCTTTCTCAAGCGGCTCACATAGCAGGGTGCTGCTTCTAATGTGTACCCCAGATCCACATCCCTGTCATTTTTCTGCACTGGTCCTTGCGGTAGACTCTGTTGCTCAAGGTTGCACAGTCTTCCATCTTCAAGGGTCTAAGGAAAAGACCACCTGAAGACTAAACCATAATTCTGTGGGGAGATGAACCTTTTCAGACCATCTGTGTCTTCTTTTAAGGTACTATTCCAGCTGCCTAGCAGAGGAGGAAGTGAGACAGCAGGGCCCACTCCATTAGCTCTGCTGAGACAACACCTCCATTTGGCTCTTCTCTCTGAATTGTTCCCATTCCAGGTCCTCTGCAGAAGAGCTTCTGTGCACCTTTGAGAACTGATGCTGAGTTCACTTGCTTTTCCTTTCCCCTCCTCATCCCTTTGTGTAATGTTTCTTTTATTATAGGCCTGTCCTTTCTGCCTGCCTGTCAGCAATCCCAGGAAATTTTGGAGCTGAACCACAAAATGAAAATGTTTCAGAGAGGTCCATGTCATGGTTGACTATAGGTCCATCTGCTGCCACCTTCTCTTACATGGTTGGGGCAGAAGAGCAAATTGGGGGTCCACATTGGCAGGTCAAGTTTTTTTGGGGGGGAAACCTGCAAACTTTCCACTGGGAATTAGCTATCCCCACCCCATACCCCCAGGAGAAGTTGGATAATTCCTGAGT